AGGAGGGTCACCGCCCATGGGGAGCCTGGGGAGGGGGGAAAGGGACACAGGGGGAGGAGGTACCCTCTCCTTGCAGCTAGATACCAGGAGAGTAGAAACAGAGACTGCTTCTATATGGGCATAAAACCAGCTCTGACTTACTGGCCTACGTCAACTTAGCCACCCACCAGCTTCAGACAACTAATCATTGTTCCCCGCCAGCAAGCCTCAGCTCAGGGCCTCCCTCGTCCGTGGCAAGACCCAGAGTCTATATATATATATATATATATATATATATATATATATATATATATATAAAATTATTTTTCTCAGAGAGGAAGGGAGAGGGATAGAGAGCTAGAAACATCGATGAGAGAGAATCATCGACCAGCTGCCTCCTGCACACCCTCCACTGGGGATGTGCCCGCAACCAATGTACATGCCCTTGACTGGAATCGAACCTGGGACTTTTCAGTCTGCAGACTGATGCTCTATCCCACATGTGTCAAACACAAGGCCCGCGGGCCAAATCCGTCCCGCCAGGTCTTGCAATGTGGCCCGCACCGCGCTGTCATCACTGCACTCCGCTGCGTTTCCATCACAATGACAGTTTATGACTGTTTAGTAAACCATTTGGCCCGCGATTTAGGCTGGATTTTAGATTTTGGCCCCTTCTCTGATTGAGTTCGACACCCCTACTTCTATCCACTGAGCCAAACCGGTTTCGGCAGGACCCAGAGTCTTGTCTGTGCCCTAAAAGACGGGAATCCCAGACCTGGTTTTGAACATTAACCCTCTAGCTTACCGATGTAGACAGGTAATTCAACCGCCTTGGGCCTCAGTTTACCCAGCTGTGCAGTGGGGTCATAATCCCTCACTTGTGTTGAGGAAACCTTAAAGCCCTGGCCGGCTTGGCTCAATGGATAGAGCATCAGCCTGTGGACTGAAGGGTCCCAGGTTCGATTCCTGTCAAGGGCACATACAGGCCTGGGTTGTGGGCTTGATCCCCAGTGGAGGGCATGCAGGAGGCAGCTGATCCATGATGCTCTCTCATCATGGATGTTTCTATTTCTCTCTTTTCTTCTTCCTTCCTCTCTGAAATCAATAAAGAAATACATAATTTTTTTTTAAAGGAAACCTTAAAAACAACAAACCATTCAGCATTATTTTCATGAGACAAATACTTCTGGCAGGGATGCAATAGTTTATCCTGAAAACGAGCTGTGTCTCCTGTGAAGGAACAGCTTTCAGGTGAGAAATGTGTCCAGTGGAGATGTTCTTCTGGGGAAAAGAGGCAGAGACGTGAAGAACAAAGATGCACGGTGAGACTTCTCAAGAAATGACACCCACCCCTCCCGCCACCAGCTTGGAAAGCAGGGACACTTTCTGACGCGGGCGCTAACGTTTGGGGTTGAAATCATCATCGTTCAGGAAAAAAATGGAACAAAGGACACCCCTGCCCTCAGGAAGCTCACCAGCTGACAGGGGAGGGAGGAGGGACTGCTGGGCCATGGACATACACAAAAAGCTTTGAAGAGAGCGTATCGTTTGTGGAGACTTAAAATGCACCTGAAGTTTCTCTAGAGAAGCAGAAGAGACGATACATACCGTATTTTTCGGACCATAAGACGCACTTTTTTCCCCCCAGAAGTGGGGGGGAAAAGTCCCTGCGTCTTATGGTCCAAATATAGCCTACACATATACTTAAAAAAAAAAGTTTTTTTACTTGCCCGGCTCTGTGTGGTCTCTGTGTGCTTGCCCGGCTCTAAAATGGTTCTAAATGCTGCTGTTTACTTTACAGGGTTGATTACATGTGTTTATGACTGTGATGTTGGGTTTTAATGCACATAAAATATTTTAGGACACTATTTGTTTCAGAATCTTTTTTTCTTCATTTCCCTTCTCTAAAAACTGGTGCGTCTTATGGTCCGGAGCGTCTTATGGTCCGAAAAATACGGTAGGTCCTCGGGTTACGTGGGAGATCCGTTCCTATGGGCGACGAACTCAATTTTTGCCGTGAAGATCAAACCTCAGACGAAGAGCAGGGCTGGGATTTGGGGCCTTCTGGCTTCCAGTCAGCGTCCTGGCAGCCTCTCACCGAGGCCCTTAGAGAACAGTAAGGAGACCACCCGACAAAGAAAGAGCAGCTTTGTGTCCTTCTCATTCGTGGTCTGTTCCCGAGTCCTCCAGGGACAGCGGCCAGGGATGCTCACCCCGTGGCCCGTTCACGAGGACGGAGCCCCTAGAAGACAGAGTCTGGTCAGCCTTTCTGAGCTGCACCGAGATAGCGTACCGCAGCACCGAGCAGAGGCAGGAGAGCCTCAGGGCAGAGACCTGCGGCACAGGCTCCGTCCAGGCTCTGCCCCCCCATGAGCTGGGCGACTCTGTGCAGGACACCTGCCCTCCCTGGGCCTCCGCTTCCTGCTCTGTGATCACAACAGCCCCGATGTCAGAGTGGCATCAGGCAAGTTCAACGCTCGAAGACGTGTGTTGGGCCCGTGTGCTCACTCACTAGACGGGAGCTCTGTGTGTCCGCCTCCGGGCACCTCCCGAGCCTTCCGGTTCTCAGCCTGCGTTCTCCAGGTGCCGAGGAGCTTAGGTCTGAGCGCGCTCCTCCGTCCCCATAAAGCCCTTAGCGAGGTCACAGGGTGCGATGGTTCCTGAGCAGCTTGGCCCCCAATTCCAGATGATCCTAATAAAGAAGCGGGCGCTCCGTACGTATTTGATGATTGAACGAGAACAGGCATTTCAGGCTGAGCTGCAGGTGCGCAGTCACATCTCGCCCAAGGTCACCTGGGAGGTGGCAGTGCAGCCCGGGCTTTGGACAAAGCATTCCTGTGCTTGTCCCCTCCCTCCCTCCCTCCCACAAAGGCTCAGGCCCTGACAGTCCCCGCCCCGCGCGCCCTTCTCCCCCCATCTACCTCCACTGGTCCCTCCCTGACTGAGCTGTCTCTCATTCCAGTCACTGGTCACCCAGAAAGCATTTTCTCTGACCTTCCACATGCAAATTCTTTCCAATGGGATTCCTTGGTGTCGGCTCCACCCCAGCCCACACGGCCATAAACATGCGTGTGTCTGCAGCCCGGCCCGGGGATTCCAGAAATAACAGCGGGGCCCTCCGTTAGGATGCCGGGCACAGGAAGGCATTTCTGCAGGAGGACACGGGCCCCTCCCAGCCCGGCTGCCCCGGTCCCTCACAGCACAAAGCAGCCTTTGCCAGCCGGACAGGGAGGGGCAGCTGGTGGGAGCCCTGGTTTCTGAAAAGTCAGCACCTCCCTCGATGGGTCTGCATGCTCAGAGCTTGCTTGCTTGAGATGCTCTACATCTGCTCCCGTCTCCACTTCCAATCTGAAATGCTTTCCTAGCTGTGGCATCTTTTGCTTTCTTTTGAAATTTCTATTATTATTATTATTTTAAGTATTATTATTTTAAATGTTTTTATTTATTTCAGAGAGGAAGGGATAGGGAGAGAAACATAGAAACTTCAGTGATGAGAGAGAATCATGGATCTGCTGCCTCCTGAACGCCCCACCCTGGGGATGGAGCCGCAACCCAGGCCTGTGCCCTGACCCAGAATCAAACTGTGACCTCCTGGGTCATAGGTCAACGCTCAACCCCTGAGCCGCACCTGCCGTTCTACTTAATTATTTTTATTTGTCTATTTGGCATCCTTTGTTTTCAGGGACCCATTCTCCCTCGGATGTGCTGGAGCGGAATCGTGGCCAAGTGCGCACAGATGGCAATGTTCACGTGCAGACGACACAAAAGCAGGTTTCCGGGCGCCCAGGACAGCCGCCTTTCCCGGGAGGGCACTGGGGATGTGCCAGGAGGGAAGCGAGGGCTGGAGGGCAGTGTCTCCTGGGCACAGGGAAAGGAAGGTGCCAGCGATGACCCCAAATTAACGGCATGCGGGGCAATCTTCCTCGGCTCCCAAGGCCTGCACTGGGAGCCAGTCAGGAGTCTCCATCCAGGGAGAGTAGCTTTCCGGGCGGCCCCTCAAACACAAGGCCAGAACACAAAGTGTGCACACACAACACAACGATGTGGGAAATGCGCATTTAGACGCATCATCTGAAAAGGCTGGAAAGAACTCTAAAAATGGTTGCTTTTTGGGGGTAGAGGGGTGGGGAGGGATTAATGGGTGTTTTTCTTCAAAATGATCTTTAATGTCATTTCTCACTTTATTTTTTCATTTTTCTCATTTTTATTAAGGTATTATATGTGTACATATCTTACCATTGCCCCCCCCCCCCACTCCCCCTCATTTCTCACTTTAAAGAAAATCACGATACCTGGCATTGCCAGGGAGACCTGCCTGGACTTCCTGGGAGTGTTTTACAGGGGGAAGGAATTTCAGGTTTTAGGTGCCCAAGTCGGAAACACTTGCATTTCTCATGTCAAAGCCATGCCTGAGCCCCTTTCTCCAGCAGCTCGTTCCTCCTGGGGGGGGGATGGGATCGTGTCTAACTCGCAGCCCGGCTCCCAGCGTCCTTCAGGGCCGGGCTCGGTGGAGGGAGCTCCAAACCTTTGTCACGCACAGGGAGGGAGGGAGGCGGCGGAGAGAAAGGCGCCGGTGCAACCCCACAGCCCAGGGTGTCGCCCTGGCGGGCCGGGCCTGGCCGCGTGGGGCCGCAGCTGCCCCGGGCCGCGCGATGCCAGGCCGCTCTGCACCGCGGCTGCGGCGGGCGAGGCCGGGCGAGCCTCTGGCTCCCGGGCCGCACCCACTCGGCGCCGGGGACGCCGGGGAAGGCGGAGGGGAGGGGGGAGCCTGAGGGCGGCGGCGGCGGCGGCATCGCAATGGCAACAGTGACGTCCTTGTACCCTGGATCTAATTGGAGGAAACCCCGTGGCCAGAGCCGCAGCCTGCCGGCCAACCGAGCTTGCCCAGGCCGACCCACCCTGCGAGCCGCCGCGGGCCCGCGCGCCCCGCCCCCCGCGCCCCCTTCCGCGCGCTCGGGCCCCATTGGCCGGCGGCGGCGCGGGGGGCGGGACTCCCCGGGGCCCCTCGGCGCGCCATTGGCCGGCGGGAGCTAGGCCGCGGCGCCGGCGCCCCGCCCCTCGGCGGCGGGCTAGGCTGAGACGGGAGGGTCCTCGCCGAGCGCCAGGAGCGGACCGAGGTGGTGGGACTCGCCGCGGCCGCGGAGACGTGAAGGTGAGCGCGGGCGTCCCGGGCCCCGCCTGGGCCTGGCGGCCGGGCCCGCGGGCGGGGCGGGGACCGGCCCCGGGGAGGCGGGCGGCCTGGACGCCGCTCTCCTTCGGGGCGGCTCCGGCGGGAAAGGGCGAGCCAACGGCCGCTTCCATCTTGGGCAGGGCCGGGCCGGGCGGGCGGGCGGGCGGGCGGGCGCGGCCCTTCCTCCTCCGCCGCCTCCGCCTCCTCCGCCCCCGCCCCGGGCCGCCCGCGCCGGGGCCCCCTCGCGGCCCGCGGGGAGCGTGGGCGGGGGAGGGAAATTCAACCGAGCGGCGCGCGGGGCGGACAAAAGGGGCGGCGGGCGGCGGGCATTGTCTGACGGCGCCGCCCCCGCCCCGCCCCGCCCCGCCGCCCGCAGGCCGTCCGCCCGCCGCCGCCGCCGACCCGGACCCCGACCCGCCGGTGCCGCCCGCGCCCCTGCCCGCGCCCCTGCCCGCGCCCCGATGGAGAAGACGGAGCTGATCCAGAAGGCGAAGCTGGCCGAGCAGGCCGAGCGCTACGACGACATGGCCACCTGCATGAAGGCCGTGACGGAGCAGGGCGCCGAGCTGTCCAACGAGGAGCGCAACCTGCTGTCGGTGGCCTACAAGAACGTGGTGGGCGGCCGCCGCTCCGCCTGGCGGGTCATCTCCAGCATCGAGCAGAAGACGGACACGTCGGACAAGAAGCTGCAGCTCATCAAGGACTACCGGGAGAAGGTGGAGTCGGAGCTGCGCTCCATCTGCACCGCCGTGCTGGTGAGTGTCCCCGTGCAGGGCCGCGCCCGCCCGGACCGGGTGCGAGGGCAGCGGGCCGGGGGGCAGCGCCCGCCCGGAGCGGGTGCGAGGGCAGCGGGCCGGGGAGCAGCGCCCGCCCGGAGGGGGTGCGAGACCAGCGGGCCGGGGGGCAGCGCCCGCCCGGACCGGGTGCGAGGGCAGCGGGCCGGGGGGCAGCGCCCGCCCGGACCGGGTGCGAGGGCAGCGGGCCGGGGGGCAGCGCCCGCCCGGAGGGGGTGCGAGGGCAGCGAGCCTCGGGCTCCGGAGCGGGCTCTCCCCGTGGCGGCTGCGAGCAGCTGCCTCAGCAGCGGCAGCAGGCCTTTCCCGGGGTGGCTGCCCCCTGCCCTCCCCGTGGGGCCGGGAGACACCCAGGCGGGGTTCCCCGCGGCCGAAAGGGGCCTCTCGGCTCGCCCAGGCCGCCTGGGACCCCTGGACCCGCATGCAAGCCATCCCCGGGCTCAGGCTCCGGCTGAGAAGGGGCAGGCGGGCACCTTTTGCAAAGACGCCCATGTGTGTGGGAGGCCTTCCCACGCTGGCCGGGGACTTCATTTTGCAAATCTGAACGGGTCACTTCATTTTTCAAGGGAGAGCTTATCGGTGGAGCTTTTTCGCTGCTCAGAAGGCGGGGAGGGGGCAACTCCACCTAAAGGGGAGTCTCGGGTTTGGTGCCGTTTCTGCAGGGAAACACCCACGGCGGGGCTTGCAATGCTCCCTGTGCGGGGCTGCGGGGCAGCCGGAGAGCTTTCCAGCTTCCGAGCTGTCCGCACTGGCCGCGGGGCCTGCGATGGAGCGGTGAGCGTCCTGATTCACCTTCTTGGCGCTGTCACTGCACGGGTCTTTTGAGCAAAGATAGGTTTTTGAGACTTAAGTACCAGCGTGACATCCTGGAGTGGTGAACTTCTCTCACCTACTTTTCTAACACAGTAATGTGATCCCAGCAGCCACGGAGATGGCTGGTGAGGGGGCAAGAAAGCCTTGCCGGGGTGCGCCGAGTGCCTTATTTAGGAATTATTTGCGTGCGTAGTTGTGTTCGTCGGTATCTTAGCTTCCACTCCCTGCCTGGCACAGGGAGGCACTTCACCAAGGGCAGGCTCATAGATTCCAGAGGGTAACGGGGGCTTTTCTAGGTTTGGGGGGGCTCACGAAGCACATGTCAGCTCTCTTCAGTGATTATTGCCCTGCAGTCATTCCCAACTACCGCAAAATCTGTTCCTGTTCTCTAGCAAGTTAATTCTGAGCCAAAGGAATATTTTTTTAACCCATGGCTCTTAAAATTTTAGTATCTATGATGGCATATGTGGAGAAGAGTTTTGCTTAATTGCTAAGTCACTTGGTATAAAAAAAAAATTGTCCTCCCCTGAAATTAAGACAATTTTTTGTATAAGTGAAATAGAAGAGTTTAACTTTATCAATCTGAGGCATAAATAAAATATTTTATTGGTGAAATTGCCTGAGTCTAATTGTGACTTACTGGCCAACCCGTCATTAAAACCCTAGCAAAGGCTACCTTCCACTTGACAGCTGTGTTGGAGAGCTTGGCTGAGCTCATGAGCAGTATGAGGAAGAACACAGCTGAGCCCTGGTGTTGTCCTCCAAACATAGGAGTGAATGCGAGAAAACCAAAACGTAAAGGATAGAATTCCCGTAAAGTGGTTTTGAACAAGTTATGTCTATTTGTGTGTGTGTGTGTGTGTGTGTGTGTGTGTTTTAGTATATTTTTATTGATTTCAGAGAGGGGGGTGGGGAAGGGAGAGAGAGAGAGGTAGAAACATCAATGATGAGAGAATCATTGACCTGCTGCCTCCTGCATGCCCCCTACTGGGGATGGAGCCCACAACCTGGACATGTGCCCTTAACAGGAAGTGAACCTGGGATTCTTGCAGACCGAAGCTCTATCCACGGAGCCAAACCAGTTCTGTAGTTTTAAGGAAGCAGAACCCTCAGGAAAGGCTTCCCAAAGCGTGGTTTTGGGAGTGAACGTTGAGGGAGGTGGAGGTTGGGAGGGGTCAGTATTCCAGGCAGAAGGAATGGACAGGACGGGCCTGACTCAGGAAAAAGGTTCGGGGTGGGGAACAAAGTGTGTGTAGAGCTGCTGCAGGAGAAACACCTGGAGAAGGGAAGAGCCACATGAGCATGAACGCCAGGGGGTTCCTCATTGGGGTGCTGTGGGGAGACATTGGAGATTTCTTAATGACTTGTGTAGCGTGGGTTGGCAACACCCAGAGCCGAGTTTGTCAAAATGGTGAGGAAAGGAGTGAAAGCTGCCATTGCTGCACATGGTGCCGTAGTGAGGTTTCCTTTCCTGCGTGAACAGGAAGGAGAAGACGGTGTGAGGAAGGAGGTGCACTCCTACAGGAGACTAGTAATAGTAACAGCGTAGAAGCAAAATATTGGTCCTAAATAGCAGAGATCCTCAGCCTCCTCTTTCCCTACAGAGAGTAGGTTGGGAGTGAGATTATTTGAACTATTTACTCAAAATGAACATGGTGGACGACTTAACCCTTTTGTAAGCACTGTATTGAGAGGCTACTCAACTGTGAGGCAGAAAGTATATTACAAATCCAAAGGAGCCGAAACCGGTTTGGCTCAGTGGATAGAGCGTCGGCCTGCGGACTGAAAGGTCCCGGGTTCGATTCTGGTCAGGGCACATGCCTGGGTTGTGGGCTTGATCCCCAGTAGGGGGCATGCAGGAAGCAGCCCATCAATGATCCTCTCATCATTGATGTTTCTCTATCTCTCCCTTCCTCTCTGAAATCAATAAAAATATTAAAAAATAAAGGGCCCAAATGACCAAACTCTATAGATTAAATCAGATATTAGAGAAGATTTTACCAAGTTATCTCTGTGTCCCAGTGTCATTGTGAAACCAGAGGGTTGGGCTAAAATTTTTAGGTCTCTTTCAAGTCTGATTTTTTTTTTGGGGGGGGGACTATAAAATTATATAGGCTCTAGCTGTTTTTTAAAGTTCAGTTTGGAGAACATATCAATGGTATATGAAATGTAGAAAAACTAATAATGACTTTAGTGAAATGGCTTCAGGGAGGGGTATACAGACATCATTGGTAATCGTAATTCAAAATTTAAGTGAAAAAGATTAAGTTGTAGGACAACCAAGCAGCGTGTGAGATGTGTGTCATTAAGCACTTGGGCATGAGGTCTGGGCAAACTGATGAAATCAAAGGATCCACAGAACCTTCTGGGACTTAGAACAATCTCTCTCCTGGACCAGATGACAGCCTTGGGGTAACCTTTGTCTCAGCCTCATGTTACTTCTCACGTTGATGGTCTTCCCAACAGGCTGCTTTGGTGATGTATTATATTAAACCGTTTCAGGACTGAGGTCCATGTTCTGACTTTTCCAATATTAAAATGGTATATAGAAACTAAGGTTGCTGTGTCAGTATGCAAAGGCTCTGTAAACTTTAGTATGCTTGAATTTAGGTAGGTTATAAATTAATCTCTTAATGACAATGTATAGTGCTGGTTGTGATTTTGAAGTAACACTGATTACATTATTTTTGATAGTTAATTAATCTTAATGTAATTTTATTGACATATTGGGAAAGTTATGGGCTCTGGAATCAAGACAGATTGTTTTTGAATCATTGCTTCATAACCGTATAGTTTTGTGACTGGACAAGCTTGTTGATCTCAGGCTCTGTTTCTTCATCCATAAATTAGTGATGATGGTGCCTGCTATTATAGGCTTGTAATTAAAACAATAACTGACAGTTATTGGGCACTTATATCCGTTAACCACTATCTTAAGCACTTCACATACTGACTTTGTTCCCATGAGTTAGGTTTGGTGGTATTGTTTCTGTGTGACGGGAGAGGACTGGGCCATAGGGAGTGAGGAACGTGTCCGGCACCCCAAGCCTGGTGAGAGGTGGAGCCGCTGGTGAGCCTCCAGGTGGAATGGAACATGTTTGTCCCTCCACACGGGGGACTGACTGGCGCGCACAGTGTGAGCCATGAGCCTCGGTTTTGAGGAATTTGTGTGGTTCAAGATAGACAAGACGCGATGTCTGTAAGCTAAGAGGGCGGGGAGATTGCTCTGGTGGGGAAACTGCCAGAATTGTCATTTTGAAGCCCTGCTCATTTACAGAATATTGCAATAAAATCCACCTTGACTGTAGACCTTTCTGGCTTTTAGATTATAAGCTCCTTGAAGACAAAAGTTGTGTTCCTGGAGAGTGAAATGGAGTGGAATATTGCACATGTAGGCATATGAATGTAAGTTAGGCCCGTGCTTCCCAGGGGTCTTACATTTACCCCAGGAGACAGTGGGCCATGCTGGAGACAGATTTGATGGGTGGGGGCTGCTAACATGATGAGTAGAGGCCTGGGCGCTTCTAAACATCACATGCATGGGGAAATCCCCACAATAGGACTTACCAGCCCAGAACGTCAGTAATGCCTCAAAGGGCATTTGGTGCTTCAGTGGTAGAATTTTGCCTCCCAGAACGTCAGTAATGCCAAGGTGGGAAACTCAGAGCTAGTCAGCCAGGTGAGCTGCTAGCCGGCACCAGTTGAACTGTTTCAGTGGAACCGGTCTTTCCCACAGATCTTCGCTCTCCGTGTACATTCTTTCCCACGATGAGCAGTATTCCATGATCTCTGTCACCGGGCCTGTGCTCAGTCGAATTGGGCCGAGTGGTACTATAATACATCACGTGTTGTATGCTCTGGTTCACTGACTGATGATGTGCCTGCCTCCTGGATGAGTGCTGCCGGCTTTCCTGAGAGAAGGGAGAAACTCTCACTGGTACAGGTGGTGAGGCCGTGGCGATAAGGACCTGTCAGTGTAATGAATGCTTTCTTATAGGACAGCCTTAGAGTGCTGCTTGTGAGTGTTGGGTGATTCTGGGAAATAAATGAGAAGGTATATGGAACCATAAATGTACTGCTTTTCAGGCCAAACTTAAAAGGTGTGTGTGTGTGTGTGTGTGTGTGTATGTGTGTGGACCAGGGCACAAAAT